AAGCTCTGCTCCTCCACCCTCCTCTACGATCTCTTCTTCAACACCTTCTCCTCTGACTCCTCCCTCCGCTCCACCACCATCACAGACCTCAGCGCCGCTCGGATCCGCGACCCGGTCTGCCTCTCCTTCTCCAATGGCGCACTCTAGCAACCTCCCCTGCGACGAAGACAACATTTGCATGATTTGAATCTCATCGACAAGCCGGCCATTTTTTCAGTAAGAGGTGGCGGAGGTTGCTAAGATTTGAAAGTGATGGCAAATATTTGATCTTAGTTTCAAAAAGATCAAGTCTCCATAGGCAAGACATCTGGTCAAACATGTCATCGGATAGTTCTATCAAACCAATGTAACCAGAAAGATCAAGCACCTCCAGTTTTTTAAGGGGATTCAAGTCTACCAACTCCTCCAGGTACGCACAAGAGGGAACCAACTCTGGGCAGCCACTTAGCAAGAGATGCGTGAGATATTTAAGATTCTTAATCAATGGTATGCAGCGGAGGTCCCGATTTTTCAAATTTCTCTGGATTCAACCCAGAAAAATTTGAATTTTCTCTGGATTCAACCCAGAGAAAATTCAAATTTCTCTGAGTTCATTTTGACCGATTTTAACTAATAATTCAGTGCTTCAAAAGTATTAATCAAAGTATAAGACTTTTTTGTATTCAAATTATACAGGACAATAGTTATTTTGAATCTTGATGCATTGGATTTAATAGAATTGTTGTTTTGAACTGTCATAATTATGTTATAGCAGTTGGGTACTTCAATGGAGATGTCATTGGACTTGTTAAATTTTGCCATTGCTATCAAACGTTTGATGTATTTTATAGATGAGAGAATTTTCCTAAATAGATACACAAATTTTCTCTGGTTTGAATCCAGAGAATTTCTCTGGAGAGAAGTTCAATTTTTTCTAGAAAGAATTTCTCTGAGACTGAAATTTTTCTGGATTGATGTTGAAGGACCTTAGACATCATGAAAATATTTGGTGTCCTTTATACTATAAAATCATAAATCAGGGACTTTAAAAAAAATACCCCCCAAATTTAATCTCCGATACATCCAAAAAAATCTGAATGGTTAAGGCTAGAATAGCAGACTTAGGCCTTGTTTTGAAACATATTAATTTAATAATTTTTTAATTTTTTACAAAAAGGTGTGTAGAAAAAAAAATGATATAATAATTTATTATTTTTTATTTTTTTTTTTGATCAGCAAAAGAGAACTTTATTGATGACAAAAACATACACATACATATGAGTTGAACATCAATAAAGAGGAGGAAGAGCAGAAGCGCATCAAAGCTAACAACCCAATCCCAACTAGGTTGGCACCGAGAAGAAAGCCCAATCATCTGCGAGCTCAACCAGAAAGGGATGGTGAGAGACCATGCCCAGAAATAAAATAAAGACCCCAAACAACTCAACCCCCAATTCACCATGCAACCCCCAAAAGAATTCCAGCAGGGCAGAGCAGACCAATTCATCTACAATCACCACCTATCTATCAGCAGCAAAAGAGACCAATTCATGAAACAGCAGCAGCAACATATGATTGGGGTTGGCATCATCAAATCAGCAGCAACAACTGCCACTCTGACCAAAAGGATGGCCCTTGTTTGAGAACTACTATCAGCAGCAGACCAGCAGATTCATGAGAACTTTATCCAAAAGAATCAGGTCACAGAACAGTGGCAGCCAATTCTGACCAAGAAATTCAGACCACCAACCAATTCATACAACACCAGCCAAAACAAGGTACCCATCTACTGATCCTATTTGACAGCAAAACCTGGGGAAGTTGGAGAAGTCACCCTTCAGACCAGTGCAACACACAAATCACAGTAGCTATTCAGTCATGAAGAATGCTGCCACTACACCAGCATAATGCAGATAAATCCAGAACCATGACAGAAAGAAACTTGTGCACCAGCTACTACTGCCAATTGAGCTAACTTGGGCCACTGATGCCTATTTAGCCATCCACAAACCAACTAACCAGCTTACAGACATGAACACAACCTCAGTCCCTTAATCTATACACAATTGCAGACCTGCTCCAGTTTATATACCACATCATGCACCGAGTAATTAAACTCTCTCAAGGAATAAACAGCCCACATAGCAACTCTGGTTTTTATCAGATCAGCCAACTCATCCAAATGTGGTTGTGCTTCATTAAATATGCACTCATTCCTGAGTTTCCACACAGACCACATTACTGCCAAAGGTATCATCTTCCAGATCTCCTTTACCTTTTTCTTCATAACTGGACCTAACCAGCAGTGGAGTACTGCCTCCACTGAACCAGGAATAGCCCAGCTCAAGTTCCACCAACACATAATACTGGCCCATATTCTCCAGATCCTAGGACAGTGAAGGAGGACATGATTTAAAGACTCCACCTCAGCTTTACAAAACACACACATTGCACTAACATTGGAATTCAATACTCCAATTCTTTGTAGGAATTCGGAGGACTTAATCCTACCTCTTCAAGCCAACCAGCTCAGAAACTGTATTCTGGGAGGGGCTAAGTTATTCCAAATGCTTTTGGTGACTGAGATATTTGGCCCTTTACATGCTACCACCCACTTCCGTACAGATGACACAGTAAAGACTCCAGAAGGGTGCGCTAACCAATAGCAATAGTCTTCAGCGCCTTCATTTAGTGTAGGAACTCTCCGAACCAAATCATTAAGTTTCAAGACTTCCTCCTCTTCCCAAGCAAGAAGAGGCCTTCTAAAATCAATGTTCCAGGCTGTACCCACACCTCTGCTATGAACATGCTCAAACAAGGTGCCATCCTTTTCAACTGCCAAGGAAAATAATCTGGGAAATACCTCATTCAGACTTTGATTGTTAAGCCACCTATCAATCCAGAACCGCACTCTTCTACCATTTCCAACAATTACCTTGAAGTTTTGCAAAAAGAAATCTCGCAAGTCAGGATTTTGTGCAGCCACTGAAAGTACACCCTTCCACAAATTTGACATAGGCCGAGACTCACCTAGAAATAGGCTCCATCTGCCACCCACACTTCCATACTTGCTGCAAACCACTTCTTTCCATAAAGCTGAATCCTCTTTGCCATACCTCCACCACCATTTAATTAAGAGGCACTCATTAACTTGACTTAGGTTTCTCACACCTAGCCCACCTTGATCTTTACTTAGACAAATCTCCTTCCAGCTAACTAGGTGCACTTTTTTCTGAATTTCAGAGCCTCCCCAAAGAAAATTGGCTTGAATTTTGTCTAGTGTTTTTGCAATCCCCACTGGTAACTTGAATAAGGATAGGAAATAGACTGGCAAGCTTGACAAAACAGACTTTATCAGGGTTAATCTTCCTGCAAAAGACAAATACCTTCTCTTCCAAGAAGCTAGCTTACTCTTAAACTTGTCCACTACTGGTTTCCATGAGCTCTTACTTCTTGGATTTGCTCCTAATGGAAGACCCAGATAGTTTAATGGCAGCTTTTGACTGAGGCAGTTAAGTTTCTTTGCAAAGACCTTAACTAAGTCATCCTGAACACCCACCCCACACACTTTGCTTTTATGGAAATTTATTTTGAGTCCTGACATCACCTCAAAGCATCTTAAGATCCTTTTCAACGCAACAATTTTTTCCCAATCAGCTTCACAAAAAATAATAGTATCATCAGCGAATTGCAAATGTGATAGTTTTAGCTCATTTGGTCCTACTGTGACTCCTCTGATCAAACCCTCTTCTTTGGCTCTTTCCATGAGTATATTAAGGCCCTCTGCAACAATGTTAAAAAGGAAAGGTGAAAGTGGGTCACCTTGCCTAAGGCCTTTCATAGGGGAGAACTCTGAAGTAGGTGAACCATTAACTAGTACTGAAATTCTAGCTGTAGATATACACGTCTTCAAAAACTCCCAATTTACTGAGTCATACGCCTTTTCAAAGTCCAATTTTAGTATGATTCCTTTCTTTTTTGACCTTTTCCACCAATCCACCACCTCATTGGCAATTAGGACTCCATCTAGAATATATCTTCCACTCAGAAATGCCGTTTGTACTTCACTAATGATCTTGGGTAGGACCTGCCTCAACCTTTTTGATAAGACTTTGGCAATTATTTTATACATGGAGCTAACCAAACTGATTGGCCTATAGTCACATAGATCCACTGGATTTTCCTTCTTGGGAATTAAGGTAATAAATGAACTATTCACTCCTTTGGCCAACTTACCATTGGAGTGGAACTCATGCATCATATGCACAATCTCCCCTTTCATGATGTCCCAGCATTTTTGGATACACTTTAGATTAAAGCCATCCGGCCCCGGGGCTTTATTACCATCACAGTCGATGATTGCTGCCCAGATTTCAGCCTCTACAAAGTCTGCCTCCAATAATTCAGTTGAATCTATTTGAGTAATTGAGGCAAAAACCCCTGACAGCTTCGGTCTACACCTCCATCCTTCAGTGAACAGCTGAGTATAATGGCTAACCACAGCTTGTTTAATCATCCCAGGCTGATCATGCAGTACTCCATGCTCATTAACTGAGTTCAATAAGTTTTTCCTTTGCCTTTTACTTGCCATTATATGAAACAATCTTGTATTTTTATCCCCATTTTGAGCCCACACCATTCTAGATTTTTGATGCCACAGCCATTCCTTTTTCTTGCTCAAATCCCAGGCTAAACTTCTAACTTCTGCCCTTCTTTTAATTTCAGAATCATGGAGAATCCTTTCTTCAGCTTTTAAATCCCATTCATGAATTTCATCCTCTGCTTGTTTCAGCTGTTCATCAAGGTTACCAAACACCTCGTAGTTCCATCTTCTTAGGTGTACTCGCAGATTTCCTAGCTTTTTCAATAGCTTATAACTGGCCCACCCACTTACCTGTGTTTCTTCCCAACAATTCTTTACTGCTTCTTTGAATTTAGGATGCAAACACCATGCATTTATAAATCTAAAAGGTTTTGGACCCCAATCCCGCTCGTCCTCCATGAGGAGTATTGGACAATGGTCAGAAATGGTTCGAGGTAGCCCCCACTGTTTGTTTCAACTGTAATCTTTCCAACCACATAGGTTCTAGAAGGAATCTATCAATCCTGCTCCATCTATCTCCATCCAACGCATTACACCAAGTGAATTTTCTGCCTAGCATTGGTATATCAATCAGTTCCAACTTTTCAATCAATTCATTGAAGTCCTTCATCCCTCTTTCCCATCTAAAGCATCCTTTTCTTTCACTCATGAATCTTATTTCGTTAAAATCTCCACCTATACACCAGGGACTTGAGAAAGCTGATTTAAGCTGGGCTAAAGCATACCATAACTGTCTTCTTTTCAATACATCATTGGGTGCATAAATATTAATAATCACACAACTAAAATTATGAAAACCCATACCTGATAAAAGTAAGAAATTTCTGTTGCTGCAACACTCCTTTAGCTCAAAAATTTTTGGATTCCACAAGCATAGCAGTCCACCAGCACTGCCTTCAGCCCCCACCTCCATGCTCTCCAGCTCCTCCCATGGCCATAATGACTTAAGGAACTTGTCGTCTACTTTACTCCTCTTTGTCTCCTGCAGCAGCAAGACATCAATCTTCCTCTCCCTAACTAAGTTTTTAATTTTCCTTCTCTTTTCAGGTCGTCGCAGACCCCTAACATTCCAGGATAGAATAATCATTAAAAAAATTGTTCACAGATCCCAAATCCCCTCACCTCTTCCTGACCTGGCCTAGGGAATAATTCCCTCCCCATCGATTTTCTCCAGGTCCTTCTCTTCAAGTTCAATTAATTTGCTAATCACCTCCTGCTCTTTACCTTCACAATTCATGCCTAGTATTTTGCCGACTTCCATAGTAGCTTGGGCTTCACTTAGGAACTTATGCCTTCTCATTGAGTTAAGACTCTGCTCAACTGACAATGATATTGCAGCTGCTGCTGCTCTAAAAATAGCTCCTTTGCGAAAACAGGTGTTGGTCAGTGCTCCCTTGTTCTTGGTCTGCTTCGTCAGGTCAGCTCCTTTCTTCTTTCTACTGCTCATTTCTGGTTTTGTACTCTGCCCCTTCCTTGATGTTGTTCCTATTTCTAACACTTTTCCTGCGGCTGGAAGCAGATCATGAGGCCTAAAATGAGTTTGGGCTATACAATCACTTAGATTTGAGGGTTCTGTTATGGGCCCATCTGCCAATACCCCAGCCTGGGGTACTTTCAAAATTACCTCTAGGTTTACTTTGGGCCTTGGACTCTCAGGTCCACTAGAGCTTGGGATTTTCTCAGGGTTGCATATAGGCCCATCAACAATTTGAATTTCATTCCTTGGAATTACCACATGCACCTGGTTAGCCTCCCTACCTACCTCGCTGACATTCAGAGTCCCCATGGCACCCCCAGTTTCTTTTACGGCTGATGCAGAGAGCCACTCATTACTCTTCTCTTTTGCCCCTGAACCTCTCCCCACCATGTCCTCTCCACCATTTTTTGACAGCTGATCTACTTCCTCTTGACCCATAGATTCAGTGCCCACATTGTCGAAGCAAAAACTGTTGCAATGGCATGGTTGTACTGCTGCTGGGAGTTCTTCACACACTCTAACTGGGAAAATATTTCCATTACATTCGACATAGATCACTTCATTTATGAACTCCAGTTGATTGGTGACTATTCTTACCTTCCCACTCTGAAACGAACTCTGACTGAGAATATCTTCACCTATCTGAACAACCTCACCCCACACCTTGCCTATGTCACTGAATGTAGTAACATTCCACAAGTTGAACGGAACACCTACACATGTTATCCACACACATCTTTCTTGTGCAATGTACATTCCTTTCTCCCAATCTGTAGCAAAATCGCACCAGTGAACCAACCACTCTTCAATCGTTTGCCTTGCTTCCTTTTTGTGTTGTTGTGAACTGAAGGTTATCACAGCTAGCCTTCCTCCCCCAGCTCTAACTGTTACATCCTTTGCACCTCTTCTAGCAACCTCCTCCTTAAACTCATTGAATGATAGAATAGATTTGAGTTTGACTATTATACTGTCATAAAGCCACCCATTTCCTGTTTCATATGCTTTGACAGTACGTTTTGCCTTTCCAGCACTACCTCCATTCTGTACTACTTCTGCAAAGGATCTTCTGCCTACACTTTCCAGCCCTTTTTACACGAGACCCCTCTGTTGACGCTGCATCATCCGATCGTTTCCTCTGGTTACCATTGCAGGTCGCTTGATCTCACCTTTTTTGAACTCTGCCTTTTTCACTTTCAATGCCTTGTTGTCACACCACAGGCCATCCGTCTTCAGCACCGCCATTTCAGCAGCAACATTGCAATCGTATCTCACAAAACCAAACCTAGATCCCGTTGCTTTCCTTCTTTTTGCTGGGATGAAAGCATCCTTGACTACTCCAAAATTATTAAACAGAGTGAACAGGCTCCTAGGAGTCATTGAATCTGGAAGCTCATCCACAAAGATGGTGTACAACCCCTTCTCCACTGATCTGTTACCTTGGTTACCCATCTGTCTTTTTCTGACCACTGGGTTCCATCCTCCAGCCTCCACTTGGTTACCTTGGTGACCCATTTTTTCACAAGCTTCGTCTTTACCGATATAATTAATTTTTTATTTTTTTAACTAAAATATATAATTAACTCTTATTATATGTATATCTTAGTTGCGTGTTGTGATACTCTCCTCTCTCTCAGAAACTAACACGCTGTGAGTGGCTTCGCGTAAATTTAAACTGAGTTGAATGGTGTTTTATCCTTCTCAGAAAATTCATGAGTTTCAAGATTCATCAAGAAAGATGTAGGCATATATTAGGGGAGATACTGTAACATATACATTTTATAATTATAGAGAAAATGATATAATTTTATGCTTTTGAATTATAATTAAAAAAAATTATAAACAAATACAAAAAAAATTATAACTAAAAATTTCAAATTAATATCACAATTAAAGAAGAAAATTAATAATAACTAAAAAAATAAATTAACATAACTAAAAATGTATATGACATGTAAATGTGTGTAATATAATTCCCCATATACTAGTTGTGCCTTGTGATACTCCTCTCTCTCTCTCTCCTAAATAACACGTTGTGAGTGGTTTCTCGTAAAAACGGAGTTGAATAGTGTTTTCTCCTTCTGAGAAAATTCATTGTTTGAGTTTCAAGATTCATCCAGAAAAGATGTCAGAACAAGGCGAAGAAACTGTAAAATGGACAATGAAAAAGCCGATAAGCATATTAGTGGTAACTGCATAAGCTGGTGTATGAGGAAAGCACATGAACATTCTTTTAACCTCATACAAAGAAGAATTTCTTCCGTGGAAGTAGCCAAGGCAATCAAGAAGCTCAAAAACTGCAAATACTTGCTGTTGGATTTGTACCAAAAGTTTTTGACTGGAAAGGTTACTATTTCTTCCATCTTGGGACAAATTCATGGAATGTTGATTCTTATCAAGGTTTTAAATCGTGTGATTGGGTAACGTAACGTTATCGATCGTGGAGTATCGGTATTGGTAGTATCGATTGATACGTATCGGGAATCAGATGTCGCGGCAGTGAAATTTTTAAAATCATTTCACAGGTTTTTCAGCTTTTTCTTTCCTGTATTGGTCTGAACCAGTAAGTATCAGCTTGTCGCGACTTGTGTAACAGCTTGTGTAACGGTTATAGACCGATACGTACTGGGACTCGATCGATACTCTTGCAATTTTCATTCTTAGCAGTACACCGGCCTGTATCCATCACGGTACCCTATTTTTCCGATACGTATCGACCGATACGTAGCGTATCAGCCGGTATTTAGAATTATGATTCTTATGTCTATTGATCATCCTGAATTCACGGTCAACTCAACTTTAGCAAATGCAAAAGAATTTTTGCTTGGTGTTAAGGCAGCGATAAACCATAGATTCCACGACCTTCAAACTCAGCTCCATGTTAACGACCCAATTGCATAATTCTCCAATGCTGAGAGTATCTAGAAGATTCTAGAAAGTTTCTACAACATTCTAGAAAAATTTGGAATTTAATAGAACATTATAGGAATTTAGAAGAATTCAGAAGAATCTAGGCTATTTTAGAAAAATATAAAATAAAATAAAATAACTCGATTATGTATTAGAATAGTTTAGAGAATTTTAAAATGTAATGGAAGTATGAGTTATCCTAAAATATTCTAAAAGGCTAGTGATGATCCATAAATTAAGTTGATTCTAGCCATTCACTAAGATGGAAGACTATGTAAAAGGTGAATACCTATAAAAATTATGTTTTGGATTCTGCTGCATTGTATCACTACAATGGAGGGAAATGATCCTAATGATTGAATACATTTTGCCTAGTGTTGAAGGCTAGCTACATGTAGCTAGTGAATATGAATTGAGCCAAAATGCCAAATCATATGCCTAGTGCATTGGAATTGAAAAAAGTGAATCACACTAGGCATTTTAACTAACAAGTATTATATGCCTAGTGCATTGGAGATGCTGAATAGTTTAGAGAATTTTAAAATATAATGGAAGTATGAGTTATCCTAAAATATTCTAAAAGGCTAGTGATGATCCATAAATTAAGTTGATTCTAGCCATTCACTGAGGAGATGGAAGACTATGTAAAAGGTGAATACCTATAAAAATTATGTTTTGGATTCTGCTGCATTGTATACTCCACAGTAAAAATAGTTATCCATAATTCTGCACCAATTCTTTTTTTTTTTTTTTTGATCGGCAAAATAAATTTTTATTGATGGAAATATCCAAAATACGATAGATTATATCAATAAAGAGGAGCTCAGAGCTAACTCAAGCTCGAAGCTCCAGTTGGTGAGAAACCAACACGAAGAGGAAAACAAACAAACCAGAAGCAATAGCAGCCGAATTACAGCCACAACAGAGCAAACAAGCAGCATAGTTACAGGCTAAGCAGCTGATTCCCACCAAACAGATCAACACCAAATCACCATGTAAATCATAAACCATTATAAATTAACGTCGCGGATAAAAATAATTCGGATCATACCTTAATGACACAACCTCGTGGGTAAATCACGTGCTTCCAAAATCTGATCAGTCAACAAACCCAGCAGTGGAGTGATACTACAAAATGAGTATCACCCACACAAGTCACAGTGCAAAATGGTTTGATTGTTGTTTTCTGGGAGAGAGTCAGAGAGAGAGTCTGGGAAAAAAGGTTATGGGTAAAAACCACATAGCGTATATCTGATATACGTATATCTTTAGATTAACCATATAATCTGATATATATATATATATATATATCCAATATCTATCTATCCATCTATCCATATCTATTGATATGATAGATATAGATATCCTGAATGGTTATCCAAATAAGTTTGAATTCAAATTCAAACTTACATGGATAAGGTTCAAAAGGTTTAGGTTCAAAAAGTTCTAAGGGTCATGCCACATGGGCGTCCAATTTCTAACATCTCTCACTCGGACATAAGTTGGCATGACACTGCTACATCTCTATCTCAATCTCCCCAAAAAATAAACTATCTCATACTAGCCACTGCACCGTGCGACTGCTGATAACACCTGCATGTGGGAGCTCTATACTAGAAACTCAAAATGAGCCAGCATAGAGACATCAACCCAAAAAGAACAGAAATAGTGTCTCATATACCCCAGACCCATCTAATTACACC